TGCCATGTTGCATAACAGCATTAACACAGCTGAACTGTATACTTAAAAATGGCTAAGATTTTATGTATGTATTTTTTACCACAGATCTATTTAAAGCTGGGAAAAAATTGTTGCCTTTGAACAAAGGATGAGCATAGTGGCCAGTGGAGAAGGAGATGAGGTTGAGATCTGTTTATAAACTTCTCTGCTAGGGTCAGGAAGAGGACACACGTAGATGACTCAGTCAAGAGTCAGCAGCCCCAAACTTACGTCTGAATCATGGAACTAGTAGCCATAGAGCAAGTGTCACGGTGTGAGGGGGGCGATTTTTATCCACCCCATAGAGAAAGTGTTAAGTTTTATCCCTGCTGACTTAAGACAAGCCGGAACTAAGCTTGATGTAGTATAGGACCCATACTGTGCAACATGTCGCAACTTACTATGATGGAAGGAGATTCTCTGGGAGTGATGGGACTAGAGAAAGGGAATTTCCCGTGTGCTTCAGTGTATCTGTTTAATCCACCTAATCACCCCCACCGTACAGATGAGCAAAGCAGTTATTGGTTAAATAGTTTCTCAGTATTGGGTCCACCTATCTGTTGCTGAGCACTTTAAAACTTTTATTTCATTTGATGCTCTAGTCTTTGAGGTAGATTCTACCCACTGTTAGTTGTCACGTGTGTGCCCAGAATCCTCGGTTAGAAGCTGGTGTCAACTGCTGTTCCTCTGCTCTGCAGATTCCCAAGGAAAATAGGTAGATTGACTAACACAAGCAAACTCAACTGTATTAACTCTAATCCCTGGTGGAGATTTGCATCGTGATGAGCTTGGCTAGCCAGGAAAGCTTCCAAAGTTGATCCTTTTATCTGGTTACTTGGCTTTCTAGGGAATTGGGGAGGGAGGACATGCAATTTTCCAAAACAGTAAGCCCAGTCTTTTTACTGAGCCAGCCATATAATAGAAGGAAAAAGAAAGAAGTGAGGGCATTGCAGGCAATCTAATAGGTAACAAACATTTTTTAAAAGCACAGTTTTCTCAAGTCATTTCTATTACTTTCCTCTTCCAGTGAGACATTTGTATAGTGGCTTATTTGTATTCTGGGCATCCATTTGCTTCCTTTTGAGGTATGTATGGAAAGTCCTCTTTTACAGGTGAGGGAATTGACACTGTAGAGATGTTAATTAACTTGAGCGGAGTCACACGTCTGCTGAGTTATTCAGTGGAAGGTTTTCACTACCCTTAATCATCTCTCTTTCATGGCAGTTGAGACTTTGGACATTCGCTTACTTACAAGATTTGCCTTAGAAAAATGGTCAGACTCTACACTTTGGCCCTTAGCATTTAGACAGTTTTCCTGTGGTTTGTGTGGATGAATTTTCCCTGTAGACACTTTTTAACATGATGTTCTACAGGACCCAAACTGTTCAGTAGAGAACAACTTACTACAGTGGAAGGAGATCCTCTGGGAATGGTGGGACCAGAAGAAGGGCTTTTATGATATGCTTCAGTGTATCTGTCAGCCTTTGACCCAGGGGTCCAACTGCCTGGCTTTATATTCCAACTCCTTCATTTCCTGGATTCTTGTGATCTTGAGAGTTACTTCATTTCTTTGTGTCTATTAGATGGAGATAGAATAGGTAGGAGGATTACATGTAAAGGGCTGAAAACACTGCATGGCGTACAGTAAATGATCAAAACATGTTAGCTTGTATAATTATAGTTACTTTGTAAATGTCTGGACATTTCTCCCTACTTTCAAGTGATAAGGTTTACAAATTTTAAACACCATATTCTATCAATTCAAGGATGCACAAATTTGTTACCATTGATGGCATTTCTTAAATTTTTTGATTTGTGATAACCTGTTAGATTCGAAGAGTTAGGAAAATCTGCTGTTGAAAAAACTTTTTACCTCAAAGCTGGATATAAAATCAGTGAATTATCTAGACCTATTCTCAAATTTCCCAGAAGACCTAGGGTTACCCTGAGAGGCAAACAGGTGGGACCTAACTTGCCCTTTTCTACCTTCAACCTGGAAGCTTTATGTTTATGGGGAAAAGAGTGCATTTAAAAACATTTCAGAAACCTCTAATCTGGATAGTTGTTCAGTTCTTCATTAGCTCCCTGCTTTATATCAAGGTATTACTGAGAGCACTTACTAACAGTGAGTCATACCAATGAGATTCGGGCCTCATGTAGGTCATTGAGCATTACTGTGCCTGCTACCAGCTCCTGTATACTATATAAGAGCAGTTGATGGTGATTGAATCAGTGACCATCTTCCTGTGAAGGACAGTGTTTTGTTATTTACTTAGCATACAGGCCAGCAGAAAACTCTTGAGAGGTAAAAAAAGATTCATTACTTTGCCTACACTAAGGAAGACATGTAAGAGATCTGAGACTTTTCCTATCAGTCCTGAGAGATGATACTGTTCATTTACTCTTGCATGCTTAAAATATGTAAAGATCATATGTAAGTTCCAAGATATAGTCCAAAACCAAGTATAAATTATTTCCAGATTATTTACTTTTCCTTGAGGAAATTGTGGGATAGGCACTTTGCCTTTTTTGGGGTTGGGGGGAGGTAATGAAATTTGTTTATTTTTAGAGATGGTACTGGGAATTGAACCCAGGACTTTGTGCATGCTAAGCATGTGCTCTACCACCTGAGCTATACCCTCCCCCGGCAGTTTTCCTTTTATTGTCCCTGTACTGTTGACTTGCCAAGTACAATTTTAGTACTTCGTAAACCATGTTTTGAGCATATCAGAAGCAGATAATAATCCTGCTTGTTTCCCTTAGTGCTAGCTTCACCTTCATCCTTCTCTATTGCCTTGCCTCTATCCCACCCACCTTTTTGATGTTCCCCTTTTTCCTCCTTAACTCTTTTCACCCCTCTTTGCAGCTACCTTTATTCCTCATATGGTGATTAAGAATGTGACGATAACAGAAACAGACTGTGGAGCTCCAAGGAAGTACGAGACAAACATAGTTCAGGCCTCCTCACAGAACTTACGCATTTTGTTTGGTTCCCCACAGAAATGAAAGATGTAAAAACAAAAACAAACAAACAAAAAAACCCTCAAATCTAAAGCTTTTAGTTTCTATTCAGCTTTTCTCTCTGCCCAAAGCATTTTTGTTTTCTTACAGACAAGGCAACAGAAAGCAGAAAAAACAAAACTGGAAAGACAAAGCTTTTAAAGAAAATACCTTCTTATGTGTTAGAATTCCCACTGTCCTCCTTCAAGTGACTAGGCCTGTGTGGAGGAAGACAGTATTCATCCTGTTTTTGTATGGTTAAGTTTTCCTTTAAAAAGTCTTTGGGTGACTTAGTAGGGTAATTAATATCCTACTTATGTGTTAGGTTTTTTTAAGAAAGAATTCATTTTTCTCATTCTCTTGGCCAGGCAATTAGGGTGTTCTTTAGCCCCCATAGGGCTGCTGTGTTCTCTGGGGCCTAGATGTGTATTCCTCATACTTTACTGTAACAGCCCTTCTTTAACGGCCCCAAACCTCCCTTTTGCTCTTTGTATCATGGAGATTCCCCAGCTAGCCTGCAGTGAGTCTGTTCTCACATGGTCACACAACAGCAGTGTTTCTCAACTAACTGTTCCATGCATGTTACATGTAACATATGGGGAAACATGGCTCTCTGGTCTTTTAGTTGCCTATTACATCTTCCAAAATAAAACTAACAAGTAGACATTTAACTTGTTCTCTATCCTCCAAGGTAACAGCTACTCCAGAGCCCTCTTTAGACACACTGTCTCAATAAAGGTTTGTACCTCCTAGATGGTCACCTTTCTCAAGAGAGACAGACCATGGGCTATGGGGTTAGAATCCTGCATGCAGATTATTTTAGCATCTAAATTCTTAGAGTAGTCTCTATCTTAAGTAGTGATAATGATGAGGTGTTGTGAACCTAGAAAATACAAGTTCCTTTTCCTCTTAGTAACTTTTGATGATGTAGACAGGTCCAAGAAAGTGCTTTTAGAAGTTTTCTTTTGTTAGTGTAAACTTTGCTTTAAAATGATTGGAAGTATCCCTGCTTCCTTAGCAAGATTGGAAACAAGTTAGGTCCATATGGAAAGTCAAATTAAGTATATAAGCACCCATTTTATGCCAGTCAACCTCTGTGTTCAGGGAGGGTGATAGAGTGTAGTGTCTCACAGTGAGTTCTGGTTCTGGTTCTGTCTTTCAGAACTCTTCTTACACTTTTTAGTGCAGACATTGTCCTTGGTGACTTTCAGCAGTCCTCTGTAGCCAGGGCCAGACAGAAGTACAGCTGGCAGGAGTTCTAGATGGAAGTTTGTAGGAATTTTGGGCAGCTCTTACAGAATCAATCTTTACTTGCAAGATTGTTTGATAATGTTTAAAAATAAAGCAAATTGGTTTTGTGGTTCCTGTGTTTGCTTTTACCTGCAATTAACTTCCCCATCTTCTGATTTTTTTTTTGGTTATAGTGGTTCACCACCGTCCTGGGGCCACCAAGATGCATTTACAAGGGCAGGAACTTGGTTGCCTTTGAAGAGTTTTATGCCTGGCACCAGCCTATTCAGGAAGGTTGCTTTGGGGAAATAGCATGGCCTCTACACATTAATAATGTGATCTTTAATTGCTAAAAGAATTATACAGCTTTTAGCTTTTTTGTAGTTTCCCAACCAAAAGCAGATGCTAAAAAAGATTGTTTTGGTGACTTAAATGTACTACAACTCATCCTCATAAATCCTAGTCATTGTTTTGCTATTTGTTGTGACATTTGGGGGCAACCTTTTTTTTTTTTAAGCTTTTAGTACTTTAGTTACCCATCTTTTGAGTTGATGGTGTTTTTAAATTACTTTGAGATGTTAAGTGTAATTTATCTGTAAGGTATTGTGTACTTTGAAAATGGGAGAGGGAGAGTTTGTTTTTATCTTCAGTCTTGGTGACGAAGGGTCTTTTTTTTTGAAAGAAGCTGTGTATCTGGAATTACAAGAAGTGTAGGCATGGCCCACTTATTTTTCTTTCCTTGGTTTTTTTAGAGTGAAGACATAGTCCAGAGAGGGAGGTGGAAGCTGCAGGTATGGGCTAACTGCTGGATGGGTGTGCTCTGTGGGCATCTTTTTAACCTTCTTGCATGAGGCCTGTTGTGCAGATGCGAAAAAAATTGCCTTCAGAAAGGTGATGGCTTTTTTCTTGCATTATGGGATTATATTATGGGATTTAATTTCCTGTTCCTAGGAAGCTAGAAAATTTTCATTTGTTTGTTTTTTCCTCTTTCCCAACTCTTTCTTCTTAGCTATTTCCTAAGGCAGGCTTACTTCCCATTTGAACTAGCTGCTGGGTAGTTCTAACAGCTGGGGCTGGGCATGGAGTGGAGAAGGTGGGGGATGGGAGGACGTCTCTCTCCCTCTCTTTCTTCCTTTCTCTCTCTCCACACCTCCCCCCAGTCTACACATATCAGCTACCCAGCTAGCATTCTTTTCCCTTTCCACTTAATAGCTGGAAGACCGCCAACTAAACTAGAACAAGGATGAGGACAGAACTTAGTGGATTCCACGCAGGTAATATTACCCTCCTGGAACCAGAATTTGTTCAACATACTGATTTTTAAGTCAGCACTGGAGTCTTAATAAGTATATTGTTATCAACTGAGAATAACACTTAAGTTCCAGAATTAGTTTGGGATCTGGAAATATGACCTGATTTGAAGGGTGGTCATAATTTGACAGAACAGTTTATTAGGTCAGGGTTAGTCCCAGAAACTCCAGGGGAGTCTCTGAGCTTACACTTTTCCTGAGAGCACTGAGCACAAAGTTCTTTCAGCTAGTCCTTTGACACTGGGGAGGAGATAGTAGTGATTAAGGATGGGGGAGGAAATGGAAAACTTTTTTTTTTTTTTTTAAGATAGCTGTTGAACTTTATTTCATTTTGCGGCGAGGGGAGGTAATTAGGTTTACTACTACTACTACTACTACTACTGCTGCTACTACTACTACTACTACTACTACTACTACTACTATTATTATTATTATTATTATTATTATTATTATTATTATTATTATTTTAATGGAATTACTGGGAGTGGAACCCAGGACCTCATGCATGCTAAGCACACACTCTACCACTGAGCCTGAAAACTTTATAGATTTCAAAAGAAGGTGGTAGGTATTCCTCCCTACAACCTTATCCTGTCCTCTCAGTATATTATATATGATAATTTTACAGGCAAACCAACTTGCTCACGAAATTGCTAAACTTAGTGCTTTTTGTCTTACAGTGATTTTAGATTTGAAATAGAATTTTTAAATAAAACAATATTTCTATTCCTTTTTTACTTTAAAACTCCCCTTCCCCCAAGTTCAGGAATTTTTTTCATTGTCTAGACTCTGATGGAAACTCACAAAAGTTTTTTGTTTTGTTTTAAATTATTTAACTGTCACATTTTTGCAAAAAAGCTCCCACAAAGTGAGATGCCATAGAGATAATTAGCAATTTAGGTCAGCACATTTTTACGTATACAAGGTACTAGATTGGGAGTTCCAGGAGACCCACTAAATTATATTAGAAGTACTCAGTTTTTGAAATGAAATTCAAGTCCATAAAGGTTTTAAGCTAAAGTTTGAGGTTATTCTGGTTTGGTTACTTTCAAGAGGTATTAATTGGTTGCTTCTTGTCTACATCCCTTATATCATCTAACTGGCTTGGGGAATCCAGTCTACTCAGCTGTCTTAGGGTATGACTTTTTCCCCAAATTTTTGTACTTGTCCTTAAATAGACTGATCATAGAGGTTCTTTTATAATTTCGTAGTAGACTCTAATTTCCTCTGTGCTCATATAACCAGACTTCACATTTTTGCCCTTTAAAACACATTTAGATTATTGGGATGGAAGTAGAAATCCCTTTACTTGTCATTGAACTCCCTGGTTACGTCAGTCAGGATAGCCTGATGTCTGCATGTACCACATGGGCTTTTTTGTTTAACTATATTTTTCTTTGCACTTTCACTCTTTTGACAAAACTGATACTGTGATTTCTAGCGCTTCTCTGTTCTAATCCAATTTTTAAACTGTTTATTTGATACTGATATATTTGATTCTGATATCTAAATGCAGGATGTGCTTTTCTTTTGAGGGTTTCCCTCATCACTCTGAGCATTTTTAATGATTTAGGTTCTTAATGTCACAGCAGACTGATTGCCCCTATCCTCACATAATCAGACTTAGAAGCTCTTAGAAAAAAAGTAGAGAATGTTCAAGGCAAAGAAAACCGAGACAGAGACAACCATGGAAAAAAGAGGAAATGATGAATGTAAATTCACAGTGAGAGGACAGGTGGTAAAAGGGACTGAGGGAAAGTTTAAGCTGCCTTTTGCAGAAGACCCTGGGTTATAAGCCTGGAATGTGCTTCTGATTAAGAAATTAAAAAAAAAAAAACTACTTGTGGACAGTTTTCTGTGAATGACTTTTAGTTCTACTTTTTAATTTCCCCCTAACAGTTGCATTTTTGTATCCCATAATTGTTTTTATCATCACTTAACTTTGTAACCCTTTTTAAAATTGAGTGACTTGTGATTAATTTCTATTCTTTCTTTTCCCACAAGCATGTTGAATTTAATTATACTGAGATAACTCTTATGACCTGCCTATGGAGAAGCCCTCTCCTTCATGTAGTAACATTTCCATCTTGTATGTTTTTAAAGTAGTGCAGCCTCATAAATTATAAAATGAATTTTAAAACATTACAACCTTTGGCTTGGTAAAAACTACTGTAAAGAGTGCACATCCTTTCATACACTGGGCAGTGCCTGGCTGTCTCCCACATTTAAATACTCTTATTATAGTTGTGATTCTGATTAAAATGGAGATTTCATTAGAAGTCATATATTTTTAGTGAATAATAAAAGCATAACAACCTGGAAGTTTCCTGAAATTTTGTTGATTCCTTTTGAAAGGAATCCTTGAACTCAAAAATCTTCATTTGGTTGTTAGCTGGCCTCACGAAGTTACTCCTTAGTCCAGGTAGTTTTCTGTAGGAAGAGGCATGAGATCAACTTCAGTGTACTTAGAAACGAGGACAGACCTAAACAGTAACTTCACCAGTCCCAGCTTGGGTCACTGTCTTCTGTCTGGCAATCAGGGCTGGTAGACTATGTGGACTGTGTGCCAGTTGCAGTCTCCTCTCACTTGCAGCCTGTTTCTGCTTCCTCCGCTGATAGGATGGAAGGGAACTCCTTTTACTTCTATCTCTGTAGTAGTAGATCAGATGGGCCATAGTCTCTGACAAAATAGAAAAGCAGTTATCTGCTATTTTAGTTCTAAATTTTGGATGATTGTGTCTGGATATTGGGCAGTTTCTACCTTCCTCAGTCAGATGCAGACAGGTGTCAGCCATTGTTTCATAGACTAGAACATTTAGGTATATGCCATGATACACTGCCTTTCTTTCTTCTTTTTTTTTTAAGTCATTCTTTATGTTGCGAAGTTCATTCGTTTACCTCTTTACAGGCTGAACATTACTTCTTTTTTTCAAAGTTCCCTGTGTTGTGAACTGAGCTTGAGTGAAGTGAAATCTTTGAGGTAAGGCAACCCTAATGATAAAAATGGAAAGAAGGCCTGTGAAATTTGGAAGCCTTCAGAGATACAGTTTTAGAGTCACTGCCTAAATATTGAAATGCCACCATTTGTTGTTTGGAGGGATGTAGAGCTAAATTGAGAACGGGAGTACCACATCTGCCTTGACTGCTAAGTATATCCATCTCTACTGCTCACCCATAATAGAATTTTTATGCATTCATTAATCTTGGTTTTAGCAATAGTTTAAAGGAGGGTAGAGAATGAAGAGACTTAGTCTACATTCCTCTGTCCTTCCTTACGTATTTGAGTGTTTGTCCCTGGCAGGCTCTGGTTCTTTTTCATTATTATCACTGTGATGACTTTTGTTTTTCATTTTTTTAGAAAGGTCAAACTACTGACAAGACATTGTTTCTTTGTACTCTATCAAGAGGTAGAATATACTATTCCATTTGTATTTTTTACTTTTTTAAATTTTCTGGCAAAATAAGATTCACAGTTAGCAAAGAAGTTTTGCCTTGTGTGCTACTTAATGTATGTCACCAAAACAGCAATTTTTAAAGTCCTTCACTCTGTTGAGAAACCATTAGGTACCACATTTTGCTCTTAACACCGTCAAGAAAGCAAGATAGGTCCAGTGCAGGTAGTCAAATGAGAGCAGTGTTTTTCTGGTGGCCAGTTCTTCAGCCAGCTTGCCTCAGGCCTGCTTCTGATGATTGGTCTGAGCTATTCCTCCTTAAATGACCATTCTGAGGTTAGCTTGGAACCCAAGCAGTGTGCTCATTGCTGTCTTTGGCACATGGAAAATAAATTCAGACCAAAGCTAACAACCCAGTTCTTTCTAAATACATTTTCAACCACATGAAGTGAGCTTTTTTCCCCCCCCCTTTTCTTTTGCTTCAGGTAGTTTCAGGCTTTGGAGGTCCTCAAAAACTGATTTGCAGGGAGGAGTTTGGAAGATGTGAAACAAGTTTGTGTTTCTTCTGCTCTATTAGCCACTGCTATCTTCATGGATCTGACACTCTATTTATCTGACAGTGCACTTAGTACTGCTTCGCCAGGGAAAATCACACAAAACAAGCCTGGCACATCAGCACTTTCATTGTGTGCCGGACTGAGCCTCCCTTCACATGGTCACATCCCCCTTTTAATCCAGTACTCCCTTTCCCTTCCCCAGTCCTGCCTGTTTCTGTGGCACTTATTGCTGGTTTCCCTGAGCTCCTGTTTCCACTTTGTGTTTTTTGTGGGGCCCAGGAAGCTAAAGCTGTGTATATTTGTGGATCAGACAAGTGCAGCAAGTTAATATCATTGGCTTCTGAAGGGGAGAGTGAGGTGATGGCTGCGTTTAAGTTGGATTTCCTTCCAGAAATGATGGTGGATCATTGCTCTTTGAATTCCAGTCCCGTGTAAGTATTTTTGTTGTCTAATTTTTATCCTAAGTAGAGGAACTGGGCTGTTTTCTTTGTTATTTGATGAAACAGGTCCCTTTCCTTATAAAAAGGAATTTAAAAATTGGGTAAGAAAGCCAAAGTCCACACTACTGTTATTTTCTGTTGTAGTCTGATTCTCTCTCATTACTGCTGATTTCCTTTAGGCTTTAAGTAAGTTTTATACACAAAGGTGCATTTGATATATGAGCAGCAACATCAGCTCAAGTGTGCTGGCTCCAATCCCTTCAAGCTGTGATTTTCCCGAATGATAGATTCCAAGATATTTTTTTAAACCATAGCGTTACTACTTTGAGTTAGGAATGAAATTTGAAATAATCTTTTGGAAAGCTGTTCATTTATTTGTATGTTTGTTTATTTCTAGTGATCTAATTTTTAGACTCATATTACAGAGGAAACCGGTAGCTAGAAGTGTGTTTAGTAGTATATACGGAATGCTGTATTGACATGTAAACTAATCCTGAACGTTGATTTTTCTACCCCCCACCCCCAGTCTAATTGAAAATGCAACACAATACATGATTTTGAGGACATCAGATGTACTCCCCCCCAAAAAAGGGGCAAAACTGGATTAATTTTGATTGGCAATTGGCCTAAATAAATTTTGAACACAGAAATGGGAAACCTAATCAGTTTGCAGTACTGTTTAAAAAGTTACACTGCCATTGTATGCAGCTAAAATACCAACCTGGCTCTGAGCTGTAGCTACAGGGAGCCTGAATTCTGGGCTTTGTAGAGAAAAATACACTTCTAACTCCTGATTCCAGTTACGTTAACCAGACTTCAAAGTATCTCAGAACCTAAGGAAGAGAGCCTTCAGTTGTTCAAAGTCAAGAATATTAAATGGTAGAATATTCCCTAGATAACAGGTGGTAGTGTATGTCTTTGAGTTTAGGCCTCCATGTGCAAATCAGTCTTCCTTGGGATTAGGTGTAACAGATGTGGTAATAGCAGATTCTGAACAGTTCTTTGTGGAATAGTTTGTGGGGGGCCTCAGAGTTAGTTTGCTTGCTCATTTGAAGTAGATTCTAAAGCCTTCTCTGTAGTCTCCAAAATAATGGTAATTTAGATGTGTCTTTTTATGAGAGTTCTCTTTTCTGCTAAAATAAAATTTTAGCAATCGATTGCAGGTGAAATCACAATGAATGCCATCATAAAGACAATATATAATAAAAGTATTCCCACGTACCAGGTATATAATCCCTAGAAATAGGATGTCGTGGCTCAAATTATCTTTCATTGTAACACTTTCTCTCTGTGCATTGCCACTGCCTAGTGTTCAGTCCTTGGATACAGCATTTTACCTCAGCTTGTTTGCTCATCTTTTATGAGGTTGGACTAAGTCAGTATCCCATGAAATCTGGATCATGGACCACTGCATGAAAGTCACCTCCAACATAAAAATGCAGGTTCCTGGATCCATGACCAGATATTCTTAAGCTAGAATGGGCCCAAGAATCTGTATTTTAATGACGTCCCATGTGGTTTGAGAACTAATGGACTGAATAGTATAGACATTCTGAGTAGAAGTAATCAGGGAGTACACTGTTAGAACATTTTTTTTCCAAGTACATTTGCATTTGTTTTAGTCACCCATTTTTACAAAAGCTTTGTGGGGTTAATTAGGCATAGGCTATTGTCCCTATTTTACAGATAAGAAACCCAGTTGAGAGAGGCTATAACTGACTTGCCTGAGGACAGTTGGTATCAACCTTGGGCCTAAGTTTAATGATACTTTTCTTTATTTTTGCCCCCTAGACTTGGCTGTCTCAAGTGTCATTGAGCAGTTACAGTCAACTCTACTCATTAGTGCAAGTCCTCAGGCTCACCCCCATGGGCACTGCACACTGAAACCACAGAGTTGGGAAGAAGAAAGTTCTAGAGAATGGTGTCTGCTTGCCACCTCTTTCTTGGATTCTCAGCCTTTCTTTTCATTCGTACTAGTTTAGCGGTAGACTTGACATCAAGAGAGTAGTTTTCTCTCTGAAGTGATATTTCCTGAGAATATGATCTAGCAATATATTTATTCCAAAATTTCTTTAAAACAGAGAAAAATTGCTAGAGGAGCTGTGGAATGACTGGGGGGACCTTATCCCTAGTTCCTATTCATACTGTGGTAGTAATAGATCTTACAAATACTTATTATTTGTAATAAATAATACTCTTCAGCTTCCACTGGTTCCTTCTACTTTACTTGCACCCTAGGACATGGGTGTTCTCTAGGGTTTGTATCTCAGACCTTTTCCTCTTAGCTTTCCCATTGCCTAAGGGGGCAGTGATTCTCAGATTTTTATATCTCTGATTCTCAGATTTTTATATCTATACCCTACATGTCCTTTGAGTTCCATGACTTTGTTCTAAAAACTGCCCATTGGATACCTCCATCTGGAGGTCTCTTCATGTAAAAACAATTCCCCAGATTGTACTAGAACCGAGAGTGATCTTTCTTTTCTTCATCTTCTTTATCCAGTCATCTCCTAGTTGTAGTGGATCCTGCTGTCAAAATTTCTCGGCATTGCTTGAGACTTGTTCCTAATCTTAGGAGCTCGTTTGTGCAAGAGCCTTCTGATCTCCATGTTTCCCCACTTTATTTCCTCCTCTAGATTATTGCCAAAATGTCTTTTAAAAGACAAACCTAATCACCCCTTGTTTAAAAATCTTGGAATAAGTTTAGGCCTATCAGTATAACATGGAAATCTGTTTACTGGGTCTCTCCAGTCTCTTTATTCTCACTGATTTTCTAGTATTTTCTCTTTCTTTCTAATCTTTAAAATGTTTTCATACTTTCCCCTAACTTTCTCACGTCCTTTTCCTATCTTTCTAATGTTATCTCACTCTTCTCTCCTGTCCCTTCTGAGTCTTTACTATTTCCCCATCACCCCTTAGGCTTTCATACCTCTGTGCTCTATAGCTTTTCTGCCAGCTGCTTAAATCATTTCATTAAATCATTTCATTCAGCTTAAATCCCTGCACATACATTGCCTCTCCTAAATAAGTTAAACCATATTAGTCACTTTTTTCACAGAACTTTTATATATCTGTTAAAGCACTGGTAGGGTATTATAGTTGTGTCCTTCCACTTGTCCAGTGCCATTGCCTCCAGGACAGGTACTGTGCAGTCCACTCTTACAGCACCTTGTAGTGTGTAGTATCTGGCACATAGTAGACGCTTGGGAAGTACAGGTGAATGAATGACAAGCACTGTGAGTTTTTTTTTTTAAATAATTAGAGTAAGGTCTGCGGTAAGGTCTCCAGACATCTC